AAAAGGGATTTTCTTTGAAGATATGTCCAGTTCAAAACCCTGGAAGTAGTTTATCCTGCACATTTGTGTGTAGCGCTTTTAGTTTTGTTTGTAAAACACGATGTATTGATGTATGTTTTGATGTATTGATGATGTATTATTGCAGCATCTGTAATTATAACATGTATTTCATCTATGTTTAACCCCTTTTGAAGGGCAGCTTACCTGTCATTCCCTGTAGGGTAAAGAACATAAGCAAGCAATTTTTGTTGAGTAGTAAATATGCTGTAGATCTGTTCCCTAACAGAACATGCTAACATGTTTATTAGCAGTACTGAATGAAATGTGATTAGTACTGGATGTCAAGACCGTATCTGAAAGTTAACTTCAAAAAGCACTATGTGAATCTGCTATCCAAGTGTTACAGGTTTTAAAAAAACGTTGTGAGTATTTGGAGTGCTTCAGCTGGCATGTTTATGACTACACAGGTTATACAACGCGTTGTTCTTACATTTCTCACATAGTATCTTATTCCAGGCTATTGTTTAGTGTAGCTTTGGGTCTAGCTAAAGAAACAATAGATGGCTCAACTCTTAAGCAAACTGAGAACCTCCCTCCACCTTTGCCTCAGTCTTCCATATGTGAAGAATAATCCCTCTTTCTTTTTGTCAGGCGTCAGCATGCCCTCTGCGTCCTGCCCTCTGCCAGTACTGTGACATACAGCTCGCTTTCAACAAGCTCCAGGAGCATGAAATCTACTGCGGAGCTAGGACTGAGAGATGTGGTGGGTGCAGTCGTAACATCATGATGAAAGATCTAAAAGAGCATCCTCGAGTCTGTGGGCAAGAGGTGAAACAAGTAAGAGGAAGCAGAGCAGTGCCTCGGTTTGAGGATGAGGATGCAGATTTGCACGCCCTTCGGGACGTTAGAGACCGACTGAGATCAGGTAACTACGCTGGGCCTCTGTGGAGAGTGCCCAGGGTGCTAGAAAAGCAGATTTGTAGGAGACAAAGCACGTTAAGGACATTAGCAGAAGAGATGTTTCAGCAGTGCAAAGAAATCAAAAGTGAGGTAAGGCGTAGAGAAGAGCGGCTTCTAATTTGACATTTGGCAACTGATCCAAGTGTAAGGTTCCGTAATTGCTTTATGTGAAAATACTGAATAATGAAAGCTCCAGAGGCACTGTGAGTGGGACTACGTTACGGTGGAATAGGACTCCAAAGCTATACGCCAGCTGAATGGGGGACTGCTGAGGTACCTGGTGTGAAAGCCCAGTCCTCTGCCTGTTATTTTGCCTCAAAGTGTCTAGCTTAAAAACAAAATTGGAGTTGTTTGCTCACTGTAGATTCTGTCCCTTTTTGTTTAGCAGCTGCACTCCTTTTTACTTCAGTTAAGTAGAAGAGTAGGTAAGATCTGGATGTGGGTTCACATATGTAGTGCTGCGCATTTCTGCAGTAACATCCTCTTTGGACACAGCTGAGACAATTATCAATGCCTCTGCTCTTTCCTAAGCCTCCCATCTCCAACTCCACACGCAGGGCGTCATGTCACACTTAGTACATAGCCTTTCCATGAGCTCTTGGCTGAATCTGTGCTCTAATTTTTGCTGTGGGCTGCTCAGGATTTAACACTGCAGAATGCCAAATTACAGTCTTCACTGGAGAACACTGCCCAGCTTGTAGAAATAACTTCTGGGCTTAGTCAATAAAGCTGAGTAATCTGGAGAGCTGTAACTTGCAGGCCACTTGCACTGACTGCCAAAGGGTGTTCACAAGTAGTATTTTTATGCACATGAAAGCTTTGTTTTAAATTCTCATGCAATCAGTACAAATGAAATAGCAGAGAGATTTGAAACAGGCCAGCAGGGGTGAGGAGCACTTAGCCTGTCTTTAGGCATCATTCGTTGAGTCTAGGGCCCTGTTCTGGAACCCTGCTTTCCTTCTCAGATTGTAGTTTTCCTACCAGAAAACATTTCATGGTTTTCTTCTGTACATATAGAATTCCCACTGTTGTCAAATGGAATATCATTAAAAGGAATTTGGTTTCCCATTGATACATTGAAAAAACAAAGCTGAAGTGTTTCAGCCTTGTAAAAGGGACAAGACTACAGTGTGTTAATTGGACCTTGTTCACGGTGTAGGTCACAGAAAGCTCCTCAGCAGCTTTGTAAAGCTCCCAAAGAAGCTTAAGTTCAAGCTTTTGGAGTAAGAGGAACAGCTTTCTTCTTTTTCTCCTTTTTTGCTTGTTACAAACACAAATAGGATGACTGTTTTCCTTCTTCCTCCTGAATTTGATACAGGTGTCCTTCTAGGCTGTGAAATGCTGACCTCCATGATTGTCCTCATGTGCACGGGTGAAACCCTCATGGCTGAGCTAGTTTAATGCACAGAAGTGAACTGCTTGTTGCACATTTAACGTTCTCTCAATTTTATGATATTTATCTTTTGAAGAGGATGAACTGGAGCAGTTGGGGAGAAATGGAAACACTCATTCCTCACTTTATGACGAGTGGAACGCCGATTTAGACTACGTGTTGGCTCTGAGCCTGCAAAATGAGAACAATCCTCACAATAATACTGCAGCTGAAATTCACAGTGACTTCTGGGAAAACTACTACACCAAAGAGTCTGTGCCATCGGCCTGTCTTAATGAACCAGACAAGTCAAATATCTTCTCCTGTGACTCTTTAGTGTCTTTTAGCACATCAAACCACTTAAAAAGTAAGTATAAACTCTGTTGTGGTTGGGTTTTTTTTCCTTAACGGTTGAGGGAAGGGAGAAAGAAAGAGAGGATTCTTGGATTGGGAATGTCAAAGATTATTTAGGTATTTTAAACTGTTAAAATGAGTCTCTTTGAGACTCCCTCTAAATCATTTTTAGATAATTACTACACAGGATTTAAAACTCTCCATGAGTACCATTTCTCCTTCCTCTCTTAAGTGTTTTCTTCTGCTCCCTCAAAACTTAGCAATATTAGTGTTTAAAATAGTTTCTTTCGTAGAGGTATTACTAAAGCAAGACAGCAAGGGAAGAAGAAATAAAA